GCTGGACATGGGCACCAGCGACCCCCGTGACCCAAAATGGAATAAACGGGTAAAGATAATGGATGGATGGATGGACCTGTTTTTGCTTTGTGACTTTTCAGAACACTATTTATTACTCGCATGTAGCTTTCATATCACCATTACTTTTATTTAATAAATTACTATAATATTCCTTCTTGTGTTTCTTTATAATTGCTACTAATTTATTTTTATACTTCTTATATTTCTCTTCAGCCTCTTGTGTTCTCAATTTCAAGAAACATGCATACAAATAATTCTTTTTTTTTACAAGCATTTCTCAACCCTTTCGTCATCCATGGTTGGTCAACAACATTTCTCTTTGTATAATTATTTTGCACACAATTCTTTTCACACAGAGCTCCCAAAATATTCATAAACTCATCATATGATCTGTTCACATCATCAACATACACTTCTTTCCAGCTTTGTTTATGTAAATCATTTTTTAATTTGTCCATTGCTTTTTTGATGTGTTTATTGATTTTTCTTAATTGTGATTTCTTTTGTAATGCTTTGATCATTTTTATTTATCGTGAAAACAGGTAAATGATCACTCAAATCACTCATTAAAATACCTTCTATCACATCCCCATTTGTTACATTTGTGAAAATATTATCGATTATTGTAGCACTATGAGTTGTAATTCTTGTTGGTTTTGATATTAACAGATAAAGATTTAACCTATACAATGAAATTATAAATGTACTGATGTTATTTGAATCTGTTTAATTTCCCAGGTCAATATTAAAGTCTCCACACAAAAAAATGCTTTTATTAAAACTCTTGTCCAATAGTTGTACGATTTTATCAGTGAATATTTCTATATTTGATCCTAGAGATCGATATACACAACTTATCAATATGTTTTTATCATTCTTGTTTATTATTTCTATTGTTATTATTTCCATGATATTATCAACAATTATTAACATTTCATTAATTTATTTACATTTTATTTCATTTTTAACAAATAGAGCCACTCCACCTCCCCTTTTGTTGCTTCTGTTCACACGATATAATTCATACCCTTCGATGTGAACATTTGTGTTTTCATCGTTGAGCCATGTCTCTGACAGTGCTATTATTGTAAATGTTCTGTTTAGCTGTTTTAAATAATCTGTTATTTTGGATATATTTGCATTTAAACTTCTACTATTAAAGTGAATAATAGAGAGACCTCCATTTGTTATATTGATGTCATTAAACTGTTCTTCATTGTAATATTCACAGTCTTTTATTGCAGGGAAAAAAATTGTATCAATCACATCTTCAACATTGTATATTTTAAACTCTAAGTCTTCGTATGCTGCCAGGTTTTAATGTATTTGTTCATTTTATATTTTGTTAATTTCTTGTTTGTGAAGTTATGCCAATGATTTATCATCTGTCCTCTCCTGAGCTCATTTGAGTCTTTCCAGATCCTTCAGGTCTTTTATTATTTTAGCCTGAGATCCTTCCTGTATTTTGATCCAAATATTTCCATTTCTTGTCCAAGTTGATGCTATTTTTTCCCGTTTTTTCTACAACCTTGCTTCACGTGCAATATTTCCATTTTTTTAGTTAGATGTTCGTTTATGTAAACATTTGTCCCCTTCAGTTTTTTTGCTTGCATTATTACCTTGTTTCTTGATTTCCTGCTAATGAACTTGATGACTATGGATGGTTTGGAAATATGGTTATTGAATATGCATATTGACTGAAAATGATTGTTAGAATTATTTATAGTGCAAAGAGTGCCATATATTGAATTGGTGTGCACACTAGAATGTTTTGATTATATATTTATTGAGAAAATGGTCCTGTTTTATTATGCAGGCCAGGTTGATGGCGAGCTGAAGGTCCAGGCCTAGAGCCTAAAGAAAGGATTGCACTTGTAGTGCCGAAGATTTCTGCTTCTCCTGCCAGTCTGGTAGAAGGCTCCTTGCAGCCAACTGAACAATTTTGTCCCCACTCCACTATGACGTTTGTCAGCTCACGACCTGCACTGAACCAAGCACTTTATATGTAACTTTCTTGGGACCTGAATCAACCCCAGCTTGGGGTGAAAGAACTGAAGGGTGTGGGTGCGTTGCTTATGGAACTGTTGGATTGTTCCCCGCCCCCCATTTGTTTGCTTTGTTGGTTTTTTTCACATTCTTTATATGGCCATATGGTTGATTTCACTAATGTTGTAAATATGTATATATTTTTCTTCACTCTAAATATAAGCCACCCGCAACTGCAAACTTTTAGTCTCTGTCTGCTCCTTCATGAGACGTATCTTATCTTCTGAGAAAACAGCCCATTTGACATTTTTCTTTATCAACCATTTACATTGATATATTGCAGCATATTAATTTTTATAAATATGCTACACACACACCTCTCCCTCTTTGTAGTCCATGGCGCAACCAAGGGTGTACACTTAGAAATGCTCGTAAACATCGTAACTCAAACATTCACCTAAGCATGCATATTTAAGGTTGTACTCACCTGTGAAGCGTTGTCTGGTCCGCCGTTAGTGGCTGGAGTAAAAGTAAGCGTAATGCTTCCACATTACCTATAAAGGAAGTGATTATTCTTCTGCCAGCAGCTTTAATTATAAATAATTTAACTAAGCAAAACAAGGGCTTTAAAATTTAAAGCAGGAAATGAATGTTGGTTGATTTTTATGACGGCAATGTTTTGTTTTGTTGTTTTATGTGGTAAAATAAGTGATTGTTTGTTGATCTAATTGTGGGCGGGGTTAAGGGTTTATAAGAAGAGCTTCTGGCCCTGCAGAGTCAATCTGGCCTGGTTACAGAAGGGGTAACACTGATATGGAATATTAGGAAAATACTCTGAAGAAGGAGAGTTGTAAATATATACTTTTTTCCCCTCCTACTCTGCATTTTTGTTTTTAGGGAAGGTGTGTAAATAAAATCACAACCCTCACACTCTGACATGCCCTCCATGATTTTTTTCTTCATTTTTTTGGAATCATGATGAAGCTGCTTATGGTGCCTAGGCCTACCGCATGAAGAACCCACGACACATACAAATAACATAAATAAAAATAACAAAAATAATTTCAATAAAAAATTCTAATTTCAGGTAGGCTCATGGTAAATTGTAAATAATTTTGCAAATAAAATATTGGTAAATAATCCAAGGAATCACCTTTAAAGACAATTTCCAAGTTTTTCATCACCTTAAGCACAGACAGAATATTTACCATTTCACACCCTGACTGCTAAGACTTCAAAGCTAAGGAGTCGGGACCTTTAATTTTATCCATTTTTTTTTTTTTTTTTTACCAGATAACTCATACAATTCAACACAGAATACATTAGTCCATAACGGTAAAGGTCAAACCTTTCTTTATCTTCATCTTCTATCATTTATCTATAGTCGGGTCGCAGAGGCAACAGGTCCAGAAGAGAAACCCAGACATCCATCTCCCCAGTGACACTTTCTAGTTTATTCTGGAGGACCAAGGTGTTCCCAGGCCAGAGAAGATACACAATCCCTCTAGCATTTTCTGGATCTTGCCCGTGGCCTCCTACCACTGGGACATGCCCAGTAAACCTCTGAAGGGAGGTGTCCAGGAGGCATCCTAACCAGATGAACCACCTCAACTGACTCCTTTTGATGTGGAGGAGCAGTGGCTCTACTTCGAACTCACTCTGTATGATGGAGCTCCTCACATTTTCTCTAGGGCTGAGCCCAGCCACCCTGCGAATTAGGCTCATTGCAGCTGCTTGTATTCGGGATCTTGTTCTTTTGGTCATGATCCAAACCTCATGACCATAGCACATATAGAGCTCGACTGACTGAAGCAACGCCTTCATTACTAAAGATGAGGCCTCAATCCATGTATAAATAAAGGTTGAATGAATGTGTGTATATGTGTATATGCAGTATTTGTGCATGCAGGTATATGTGTATATATATCTATGATGTGTATATATGTGTATATATGTGCATATGTGTGTGTGCGTGACATGGTGGCACAGTTGGTAGAGCTGTTACCTAAGAGAGAAGGTTGCTGGATCAAATCTGGGGGCCTTTCTGGGTGGAGTTTGCATGTTCTGACAGATCTTTAGGAATTCAAAACTAGAAACTTTTAGGTCCCAAATTGATTTAATTTTGCAGTTTAAAATATTTTTTATAGCAGGATGAAAGCAAAGTTCAGCATGGTGACGCAACTGGTGGAGCTGCTGCCTCTCAACGAGAAGGTTGCTGGTTCAAATCCCATTCCGGGGGCCTTCCTGGGTGGAGTTTGCATGTTCTCTCTGTGCATGCGTGGGTTTTCTCCTGGTACTCCAGTTTCCTCCCACAGACCAAAAACATGCATTTTAGGCTGACTGATAACTCTAAACTGTCCCTAGGTGCAAGTGAGAGTGTAAATGATTGTTTGTCTCGTTTGTCTCTATGTGTCCCTGTGATGGACTTGCGACCTGTCCAGGGTGTACCCTGCCCCTTGCACAGTGATTGCTGGACCTGGGCACCGGCGACCCCCATGACCCAAAAATGGAATAAGCGGGTAAAAGATAATGAATGGATGGATGGATGAAAGCAAAGTGATTTAAGAGCTGATGAAAAAATTGCCCTTACTTTGCTCTGTAGGAAAATAGTTTGCAGATACCGTCTTCCTGAAGTTTGTAGAAACACTGTGATATCTCAGTGTAACACTGAAAAGATTAATATTCCTTTGGTAGGAAGCCATATGGAATAAAAACATTGAGGCAGGGAGGGGTGAAGGGAGCCCAAGAGCACATCCAAGACTCCTGCGCTGATCGGCACTGCATGATGCAGACAACAGAGGAGAGAAAGGAGGAGGCGGAGGTGGAGAGGAAGGAGGAGCGAAACAGTGAACAGACTGGATGAGGCTTGTAGCTCTCAGTCTCTCTTCTGAGCTTTGCAAAGCAGCATCTCTTTGCTTTTTTATTCTTCTTTCCACACAGGGGCTTTCAAACACTTTTTCTCTGAGCTGACTGAAGGAAAATCAGCAGCAGAGGGAGTCACTCGCTCCAACTCCTGCATCATGTTACCCTGGAGAAGGAATAAGTTTGTACTGGTGGAGGATGATGCCAAGAGAAAGCCCAAGAGTCTGGGGACTGGGCTGACCTACCACTCCATCCTCTCATCTTTACTTCGCTCCTGCCCTGACTTGATACCAGACTGCCCCTTTGACTGGGTGGGCAGCATCTTTCATACCAAACGACAGAAGGTGGAACTGAACAAAGAAGAGCCAGTTTACAGAGTGCGTTACCTTGGCAGCATGGTCACCATCACAGCAAAGGGAGATGGCTGCACCCAGGAGGCAGTGGCCAAAATCTGGACAAGGAGTAACTACGGAGAGCAAAGCGTCAAGATGAGGTTAACAGTGGGGTCACAAGGCATCCGAATGAGCGCTGACAAATCTGGGAAAAAGAAACCCATCCATCTGTTCACTCTGAACAGAATCACTTACTGTGCAGCTGACCCGAGCCGGCCTAAAATCCTGTCTTGGATCTACAGACACCAGGTCAAGAACATGGCGGTGGTGTTGCGGTGTCATGCCGTCCTGGTCAGCAAATCAGAGAAGGCCCGTGCCATTGCCCACAGTCTGTACCAGAACACCACCTCTGCCTTCAGCGAGTTCAAGCGGTTGAAGCGTCAGAGTGACTTCCGGCACTGCCAGCAGCAGCTGCTGGGTGAGGAGGCAGTGCCCCTGATGCCGCTGAGGAGGCTGCTGAACGGACAGTGCCACTATAGACTGCCTGCTGAAAACCTTGGCAGTGCCAAACGCCTCTGCTCCATCACAGAAGAAGAAGAGGAGGAGGACGATGGAAGGAACAGCAGGAATGAGAATGAGAAGGTGGAGGACGTCGAAAAGCTGCAAGAAAAACAGAAGGTTCTGACAACAAACACGGACCCGACTCAGTTACTGTCAGAGCTGGACATTGGGGATATTGCCCAACTGGAGCAGTGCCAAATTAATTTCATCAGCGACAGCAACAATAACACCATTACCTTTATAACCTCTCTGGTGTGAGTGAAACCACAGGAAGAATGGCCACTCTCTAAACAGTAACATTCCTCTGTTTGCCCTCCACTGTTGCCCCCCACTCAGGCTTCCCCCGTCCCCTTCCACGTAACGTAGTGTTTACCAGAAACTTCTCCCACTTCTGAGTGGAGAAAAGACAGGCGGTCCTTCGGTGGGAGGAAGTTCTTTTCTGCCCAGATGGCTCAGATGCTGGTTTGGGAATCAGATTGTTTACAAACGAGGACCGGTGATGCACCAAGCGACGACAGCACAATGACGAACGAGGACATTGCTCACAGGCAACGCTGAGACTGCTGACATGTGGCTCTGATCCCAGCACGATGTGCTTCAGTCCCGTTCCTCTTACTTTTTTGTCAATAAAATGAAAGCTGCATTTGCCAGCAGGTACTTTTATTTAAATCAACTTGTGATAGCTTTTCAGGGAGGTTCTTTGTAAATTTGTACATTTTTTAAATAATCTGACAATCCTCACTGAAAATCTGTAAAGACTGACCTTTCTGAGTGCTCAGAGCTGAGAATTTTACTACGGTTTTACTAATGATCCAAGCCAACTAACAAATAAGGCTATAATTTAGGAGGTAAGCCATTGAGTCGAAATCTATATTGCTGTCGTTCGTTTCAGATCTTATTTATGCATGCCACATCAGCAGGTACCTGAGCGTTGTGTTGTTGCTTTCTGTGTGACACTCCTGAACCTTCAGCTTTTGTTGGAAACACTGTGATAAATGTATGACCAGGGAACATGCACAACTGTTTATGAAGCACCTTGTTTCCATTTTTAAATAAAATTAAAGCTGTTAATTTTGTTGCACCTCCTTTCAGCCAAGGTTTTCCAGGAATGAAATGAATTGAATACATGTTTTTAAAGAATGACTCTTAGCTTTCTTATGCGCTTATTGTATGTTACTGTCTCCTGATGCATTGTGATTGCTATAAGATGAAACTATTTATTTTCTAAATATGAATAATAAAAGTTGCCCTCACTTGGATTCCCTTCTTGAGTCTCAATGTTATCAAAGAAATTATTCAAATAGAAGCAACAATGCTGCATTCCTCTGTTGCACATTTGCATGTTTGTGATGTGCAATGCCCAACGTGCACTTCAAACATGCAATAAGAAAAAAATGCATATTTATTCAAGAAAATTTGCACATTAAACTTAAAAAGTAAATAGTAAACAACTATTTTAGCCACTAGATAATTTAAAAAAATCACAACATAGGCTAGAACAGATATTCCTTCTATTTGCTTTCTGTTGCTTCGTTGTAAGGAGGCGTAATTAATCAGTGGATTGAAATGTTCAGGAAATAAACATAAAGCGCCTCCTCAGCAGGCTGGCCGACAGCGTCTGACGCTGAATGAAGATATTTATAAAAAAAAACGGAGGCAACTGTGCAGTGGTGGTTTGCAGCTGGGCAGTTTATCAACATCTTGAATATTTCATGTCCCTGTTTGCATCCCTTCACCATACATTTCCCTGCAAGGAATTCATGAATATTGTGAAATGAATCATTTTAAAACAGTTTACAGATTCATTTTTACTGCCCTTACAAATAAAATTAAGGCTACTTGTCATAAAACAACTATGAAGGCTGTTTGATTTGTCATTCCTCTGTAGACCTTCACTCTGGGTGACAAGACCACTCTGATATGAAAACCTTTGGATCATCTATGGTTCTTGGTGAGGTCTTCACGTGTGTATTGAAAAGGTGTGGGCTCTTCATCAATCTTGGGAGAGAGTGATAAGTCCACAATAGTTTTGAGCATGCACAGAATCTATGTTCATTCAATCTTTATTTCTACAGGTTAGGCTCATTGAGCTTCTTCGGGACTCATTTACAAGAGAGATCTGTTTTAAACAAAGAATGATGACAATAGTGGACAACACTGACAGCAGGTTAGATAAGGTTAGGTTTATTTGTCATACACAAAATCAACACAATAGCAATGTAATGAAATGCTTAGGACAAGAGGAACTTCAACTTGCCAAAAAAACTAAACAAACAACAACAAAAACAACAAGAAATACCAAAGCATGCAGTAAAAATACTAAAGACATACTAAACAATACTACCACAAAAACTAAAAAAATAAAAATAAAAAAAAAACACTACTAAAATACTAAAAATAAAGGCACCAAAGTTGAAAAAGAAATATATCTACTGTGTGATTCAGTTAGCAGTGAGGTTCTTTCAACATCATGATTCTGTTAGCGGTGTGGTCTTGTTAGCAGCTTAGCAGGTCTTGTTAGCCGAGCCGGTCCGCAGTCTTTTTTTTTTCTCTTGTCCTGTCCGGCATTGTGACACTTAGAATTATTGTCTGATTGTCAAAGTGATGCCCAACAGATTTACTTTCACAAGCAGAGCATTATGGCTGGCCTTAATGCTCTACTTGATATGAAAATTAAATTTTATTAGAATATGCTATGGGCTTGTTTCAGATGTAATGGACATGGGGATGAAAAACAAAGAAGATGACAAAGCAGAAAAGTGAGAGAAGGGTTAAAAGGTAAAGAAGGAGATAGGAATAGAGGCGTGAGAGAGGTATAAAGAGAACACAAATCAACATCATTGAAGTCTGCCTCTAGACCTGCGGAAAAAAAAGACAACACAAAACCGAGAAACCACAACAACAAACAACATATATAATGATACTTGTAACATCATTAGAAAATGTAGGATTCTCTGCCTTTTCCTTTAACCATCTCACTCTCTCCAACTAATTGGCTGATTAGCTGCACCTGCTACAAAGACCTGCACCTCTACCTCCTGCTCTACTTAAGCCGCAACCAGACGTTCAGCCCGTCTGTTCAGTTTCCCGTTCGCCCTGCCTGTCTGGTCTCCTCGTGGCTGTGTCTGGTCGCCAATCCTGCACACGAACCATATTAAGAAACTACATTCTGGATCCTTCAACCAAGACTGCATCATCTATCAATACTCACCCGCTGGATTCCCTGCCATCTCTGGATTCTGAACTCTCTGTTCACACCACTCCAACACCATTGTAGTGAACTAAGCCTCAGGTCAAAGTCCTGGCCTTGAGGGCCTTCCTGGGACAAGAACTGTATTTCATTGATTTGAGTCCAGAAACACAAGATTAAGTTCATCCAGAGACTTTCTAAGTGTCCTGCACTGATCAATTGAAAGAACACTCTCTTTTTCTATTATCATTACTATTTTACAAATGTTTTGATAATCAAATTGTGTTTAGTTCAAACCATTTGAAATGTTGAAGTGAACTACTCATTTTTAATCAACTGTGAAACAGTATTAGTGATTTTTAATCCTCATGCAAAGTAGAAATCACGTTAAGGTCTGTTACAGAGTAATTATGCATTTTCTGATTTTCTGTCTTTGAATGAGCAAGTGTAAGTTGGTCCAAGGTTGGAGTCAAACGCAAAACAAGTTGTTGGAACGAACTGTCATGTTTTTAAATCCTCTCAGACGTAAATATAGAGGCTGGCACCTGTTTTCCCTCAACTCGCCTAAATATTCCTCTCGTCTGTCTTTAAAACATTTTCAATCTGTTCCATAACATTCTTGCTGTTTTTCTGACTTCTAGTGACCTCTTACGTCACAAAAACACACCCCTGTCTGGTCGATTTTGACCAATCAGGAACCTCCCAAATGAACCGGAAATAGAACTCTTTAAATGTCGGTACTTCCTAGTTCAAACCGGGCTTCAGTCGTTTGCAGCTCCAGTCGAGTGCAGTCGAGTTCAGTTCTGGGAGCAGAACCGAACGGAAGAAGTGCTGGGAGAACAGAAGTCCAGGCATGATCCAGAGCTCTTCCGAGTCTTGTGGGAATTATGCAATCTTCCACATCTGAGTGGAACTTCTGAAGGACTCCACTCATGTGAAGTCCACTCGTGAGGTGAACTGTTGTTGATGAAGTCCCGCCACCACTCCGGACGGTTCTCTGCCATCCTACGGAGACGCTGGACCGGTAGCGTTAACTGGAGCTCTGTATCCGCTGATTCATCGTCAGAGATGTAATGAGTCGAGTTTACTACCGAGCGTACCGAGGAAAGCTGGGTTCGAATGGAGGGTGCCATTCTGTTCAACACTTTCACTCACACACACCATCTCCCTCCCTCTAAACTTCATCTTTCCATCTTTAAACTCTTCTATCTGCTAGAAATCATTCCAGATAATTTTAGAAATGTCTGTTGTACAGCTGGAAGCAAGGGAAACCATCGCCGTATGGTTTTCTAATTGTAAACTGATTAATTAACCTGTTGTTATTTTTCAATTTGCCAAATTAATGTAAATGTGTGATGTTAAACTTTGATTCTGTAAATAAATGACCGCATTCATTTGATGGGTCAAAGAAAATTAATGTCTCACGATACATTTTATTAAATTCAATGCACGACATTATTCAGTCCAGAAAAATGTAAGAATCCGTTTAATTTATGAATATATCACAGTATATGTTCATCTACATTCTGGTGGCCCGTGACAGGTCCATAAATGGACTGTATTCGTGTAACAATTGAATTATCATGTTGGCATGAAAAGAGTGCGGATTTCTGTTGTGTGAAACGCAGCGTTTTGAGCTGCGACGCTTGGAGAAAATACAGCTATGTTTTGCAGCTAGTGATGTTTTGAAAGCTGAAATTGAGAGTCAATATGTCTGTTTAAAAGCTGAATTTGTACGTCTGTTGTGTGTGACAAAGTTGATGAGCTGTGGAAACATGGATTCTGTTTAAACTGTGACCCAGACGTTGGTTCTGGTCCGGCTCGGTTCTGATTCGGTCCGAACGAGTCGTGTTTGAAGAAAGAGACGTTTTTAAGAACGGAGCGCCGTCTCCGTGAAGCTTTGGGAGTTGATTCGTTACATTTTTAACAGAAAATAGTACATTTTGACAGTTTAAAAGACGAAAAGTTGTCCGGAATGTTCATGCTAAATGCTACACGCTAGCTGGAAAAACGATCTGTGATTGGTTGAAAACGGCCGTGTGAAACGCTCTGATACGCTGAGAAATGAGTGACGTGTCTGCGTCACTTCCTCTGAGTCAGCGATATAAGAACCCACCCCCGTTGCTGTTCTGTCATTGGTAGATTCAGTCACGTGACCAAGAAATGAAGCTCGT